TGCTTTTCCTCCTTTTTCTTTCTTAGTCTTTTTGGATTGCTCCTCCTCCTTTAATCTATCCTGCTCGATCTTCCATGCCTACAGTAAATACATGAGAAAAAGGCCCAGTGTAAGGATCATGAAATCTGAAAATGTGTATAGTATAAATATTTATATGATATGGTTAACAGCTCACTTTGAGAGAGTCCTCTCTTATGTACGGTTCTAATGTGTCTGAGACTGGGGACTTCACTGGACAGTCTAAAACAAATAAGCTAAATTTTAAAAATGCACATCATTAAATCAATTGCAACATATTTTCAAATATCTAATATAGTTGATGTATATACAGTATATGTTATCTACATGTTATCTCTTGCTCAGAGGCATATATATATTTTACATAATTTATGAATATGTTGCCTCTCTTCCTGTCGGTCTCTGAAGGGGTTTGAATAGGATTTCTTTCCACCTCTTTCTTCTGCCATTTTTCCTCTTCCTGCCTGGTCCATTCACTGATTGAGTGTGCCACATATTCCAAGTAGTTTCTACGAGAATATTATATTATATTATATTTAAATAAAAATTACCTAAAAAATTATCATTAATTGCAGAAATAAATAGGCTTTGGATGATTGGACCATGTAAAGCTTGAAAATGAGAAAAAGTACCTGAAGCCCACATCTGTGTGAAGTGATGCGTCCCAGTATTCTTTGCAACTCCTCTGAGGGCTCATGGGATTGTGGCAGACAACTATATTGCATTGTCTCTGCTACAGCGAAATGTGTCCACACATCTATAAGTCTCAGCCGCAGACTGGATGACCTGAATATGCCAAGACATTACTCATTTGTCATTTTTATTGCAATTTCTAATAGCTTTTCAAAATAATATTGCAAAAATATTAAACATTAGGATACAATATGAGATTTGAAGGTGGGTACCTGTGGGAAAACAGAAGCACTGTGCTTCTCTACAAAGTTCCAGTGTCCCAGCTGACGAATCAGTGTCTTCTGGAGATCTGTTATAGTCACTTCATTACCCTGCTTTGATTAAATGTATTAGTATATTAAAAACCAATCACTTGTTCATGATAATGTCAATATAGTGAAAATGTTTAATTAAATAACATTCAAATTTCAGCTTAAAATAGTTTTTCTTCAATCATACCGTTTGTTCGTCAGTCCCAGCATTGCTTTCTGCTGATCCTTCAAAAATAAAACAGCTTAAGTGTACAACAACAAGACTTCAACACTGCTTTAAAAAATGTTGTTTAGATTTTAAATGTATTTGTATCACTTAAAGTAAATTGTAATGGCTGCTCTTGTGCTCTCGTCACACCTGATATCCTGCTGTTGCTCCAGTACAGGGGTTTAGTGAATTCAACAGGGTTGTCCCATGGTGTAGGGTTTGGAGGATCTGATTGAGATCCTTTAATACAGCTGTTCTCATCCACTATAGTCAGTGGCATGCTCTCAAACACAAACAGCTGGAGAAGCCTCTGTAACTCAGACCAGCTTATTGACTCTAAAGATACACATTAAAGGGGTCATATGATGCTATTTTAAAGATCATTATTTTGTGTATTTGGTGTAACAGAATATGTTGACATGCTTTAATGTTCAAAAAACACATTATTTTTCAAATACTGTACATTATTGTAGGTCCTCTATGCCCCGCCTCTCTCAAA